TAACATTATTTTATATATATATATATATATATATTTTTTTTTTTTATTTATATATATCTCTCTGTCCGCAAATTTACGCTCGTTCGTCATCACTATTGATTTCCTTGCCAGTTGTACCATCGTCACGCGTTTCTTATTAATTACGTTTTTTTATCTTTCTTTTTTTTTAAGGCATATTTCAAGTTACACGGTGCAACAGAATCAGCCGCCATTGAGAATTGTTTTGCGCTCGATCTTGTTCGCGTGTTAAAAAGTCGATTTAACGTGCACCCCGAACGCCTGGGGTCGAATAGTATGCTCGCTGCGCGACTAAGTTCAAAGCACTGTCCGTAATAAAAGTTGTACGTTTGTAGCAAAGTAACGGTGTATCTGTGTGTCTGTGTGTGTGTGTCGTACGAAAATGACTATTCGCGTTACATGTACAAACTGTCCGGAATCGGATTGTTATTGAAATACTTCTGTTCAAACGCCCATGATTTTCAATTAATTAAACGGTTGTGTACGTATGAATGCTTAGTGCTACTTCGAGACCACCTTTCAAAGGATACAGGCGATCCACTTTCCTTGCAATGCTTCTCCGGTGTCGAGACCGAATCGTCTGGCCGCTCAAGGCCACCGTACGACGACGCCCCCACCATACAGTTCGGCTACCCCCTCTCTGGCGCCCCGTCGCACCGCCACGCCCTCGATTTCTCAAAGGGAGATGGAAACTAAGGAGTGGTTCGCGGCGAACAAAAGTGGCCTTGACCGGTCAATCGAATTCGATTCGACTACAGTACTTTGCAAGTTCGAACTGTCCTATTCGATCCACTGTGTCAATCCGTTCGAAGAAAAGACCCTGCTTTCGCTAAACCGAACCAAAACGACATCAGAGTTTTCTCTACGAATATTTTTGAAATGAAAAGTAACTTCCATCGCGTCCAGCCTAAACTTGTTTTGAAATTCTTCTAACCAGCGATGGGACCAATCCAATACTCGTTAATACCGATACGTATCAATTCTCAAGCATCGCTATTCAATCAACGAACAAGCATCGAAATAAGTAATTATTGGTATTAATAACATCTAATCGTCAAGCAAGGCAACGATATAGTTTACTATCAGCGTTGCGGATTATTTAAATAATCGTTCGAATAGTTTTAATATTTTTTTTTTTTGACGTTTCTTCGATAATTGTTAGAAAGTTAAGGATGAAATATAATACAAATGGAAATGTGTCGTAGCGATGAATTTTTTTTAGTTGTTGTTGTATGAGATATTTATCAGATTGTATAACCTTAAGAAGTTACCAACTGTGTTTGACGTGATTGTCGAGTGTTTTCATCGTTTCTTTAATTTCGGATGAGCTCTGAATATTTTTAAAACGGGTATTAAACTTGATATAATTGATAGGTATCGATACGGTAGTAGCGTGTCACAATAAGTTTCGAATCGCTTGAAGATATCCTGCGGAACGGTTTGATACAAGAGTATCAGTTCCAAACGTAAACGTATCGATGTTATCAAACCATGCTCAGTCCCATCACTACCTTCAAAGCAATCATATCAATTCGAGAAATTCGACACGCGTACCCCCTGATTTGTGAGCTTTATGTACAGAATCCGTATAATTCTTTAGACTCTCATTTTCGTCTTTCAAGCAAACATCTATTGTTTCTTTTTTCCATAAACTTTACACATAACCATCGCAATTTCATATCACCCCTCGGTACTGATCAAAAACGTCTCATATTGTTTTCTGCTTATATTATGGTCCCTACAAAAAATACATTACATCTATAAGCAGTTTATATTATCGTATAATAGTCAATATCTATGTACACAACATTCTTTAATTTAATTCTCGTTACCTATTAGAACTTCCTCCTACCTAATACTTAAAACGCTTCATTTCCTAACCTCAATTTTTTTTCTGCTCCTTTACTGTAGCTTGGGAATGTTACATACAGCAAGTATTCGCGATGAAACAGAAACATCGTTCGAACTAACTAAAGATATTCGTTAGAAATAAACGTAAACTAACAATGTGTACGCTAGTAGTAGTGGTAATAGTAATAGGAGTAGTAGCAATAGCGCAGTGATAGTCATAGTAATGATAAAATTAATTAATCGCCACAAGTTGAATCGAGTGTAAATGGAAACGCATTTTTTTTCTTCTCTCGTTATATATATGTATATATGTACAAATAAATCAAACGAAAATAGTTCGGCGTGCATGGTTCTCGCGACGAGAACGTGAATTTTTGCGGTGAAGTATACGAGAATGGTTTCTTTTGTAAAAATATTTAAGTAACGCGAGTGAAAAATTGTGCGGGTCGCGCGCAAATCGTTCCTCTCAAAGTTACCATAAAACGACCGTACTTTTAATAGAAACAGAACGTTATCTTATTATAGCGACCACATAAAATCTATTTATCGTATATAAGACGAGTACCACGTTTTTCTTTTTCAATTGCTCGATATAAATCGTTCTATTTATATGTACAGTTTACAGTGTCTCGGTAGAGATGTATAGGGTGGGTCACGTAATTGAAACGTTACGAGCTATTTTACAGAGAACTATTAATACGCTGTGTATCATACAGTGTTTACAAACGTGAATAACATTCATTTGAAACGTCCTTTTCGTATTTTACGTAGCGAAAAGAAATACGAGGAAATAGTTTTCTTTGTATGTATAGTCGGAACTAAAATTAAATGAGAGATCGAGGCTACTATAAAATTACCCCCACCATATTGTTTATTTATTCCCATCTTTGTTATAACTCATGGTTTCTATGGAAAGATTCAACAAAGTATGGCAATAGAGTTATATATCCGCAGTGAAGGTGTTAATATTTTTCATCATATTTTTTCTGCTACGTGGAGTAGAAAAACCAGTTTCAAGTAAAAGTTGTTTCTTTTTCGAAGAATGATTTAAAACTGGAAGAATATTACGTAAAAGGGGCCAATCGATTCTGCAGTGCCGAAAAAGGGTTATGTTGTCATCGTTAATAGTTCTTGAAAAAAACAGCTCATAAAATTTTATATAGGTTGAGTTGCTGTAGCTTAGCATCTTAAACAATTACTTTACATTTAATATTGCGGAGTCACGGTTCGATAAGGAACATCAGATACTTGAAAATAATTTTTGTCATAAGTGCAACTGTTTCTCAGATTCGTAAGCCACCTTGATATATTTTCTTCGTACAGCGACGTTGCGATAACCTTAAACTTGATATAATTCATCGTAAACTAATTAATCTGATTCGAGAGATCTTCGCTCTATGTTTGTTTAGATTAGATAAAGCACTACGCGATATTAGAGGTAACGTAATCAAGAATTATATTCAAGTTCAACGTCATCTTGATATCGAAATGTCGAAAATCATCAATTTTATCAACTATACGAATAAAGTATATCAGTAGGCGTGACCACGAGTCACGAGATTGATAAAAGAAATGGAATACTGAAGAGAACACACCTTTTACGTCCTCTTGTATCGTATCAACGAATAAAGTTCGTATTCAACATGCTAAACCACAATGACCTAACCTGTACAAGCCACCCTGCGTTAATACACATTCTTCACCATCGACAAAGTGTAAATTGAATTGAATTTGATTCGACGTGTATTTTTCTTCTATTCACAGCACTTTTATTTTATTTTCTCACTTTTTTTCTTTTTTCTTTAGTTAACCTCTACAGGCTTCCACAAAGTCTACCGTTCGGTAGAGATTCATATCACAAAGTAGGTATGTAAGTGCATTACAATATGTAGTTAGAGAGATCATCACGGTCTCGAGAATGGCACAAACGGTCGACCTTGCGGAAAAAGTCACGTTCAAACATCAAAATTGCGTCTAAAATATAGTAGCGTGTACTACACTTCGAGAAATTGACAGTGACGGGCCAAACAGCGTGCGAGAGATTATCGTACATAGGTAAGTGTTTAACATAAGTAAATGCTGTGACGACGTCTTTGCCAGCATAGTGTTTCGAGATTACGTAAAATCAACGCTATAATTGTTCGTAGAAGCGTATGCGGAACGGTTTCGTACCCGAAGCGATAGAGCGAAACGGTACAAATCGTTCATTTGCAAACGCAGTTGCTCCTTTAAGATCATTTCCGTTTCGTCAAAACATTCTCTGGCAAAATTTGTTTAGTTCTTTTAGTTTTTGTCTTAATGTAAAAGAAATTGAGCTGAACGAAGTAACTTTATCATATTCATTTTTTTTTTTCTTTTTTTCTTAGGCTAGGATTCCATTTTGCAGTGATAGATATTCATATTCGTGTTCTCTCTATATCTTTCAATTTCAATTTGAATTAAAGGTGCTCTTACGCCCTATAGATTTCTTTCCTGAGTGAGTTTATATAGTTCTTTCTTTTATCTTTTTTTTTTTTGTAATATCGAAATTGATACGACAGGCTTTCAGGTACAAAACAAGTAGACTCCCCCCAACAATGAGCGAGCTATAATGGTGTAAAGCCAGAACTTATTTGAGACGAGTCTCGAGTGGCGTTAATCCCAATTGACCCTTGATTCACCGAGCCACCATTTGTCAACAAAAACCTGTAGTTTTCTTTCTTTTTTTCTTTTTTATCTTTCGTTGCTTGGAAGCATAATTCATTCAATGTAGGACACGAAGTAACAGTAGGTTACGACGAAACATCGCTCGAACATTTTCATTGTATACGCTAAGATTTTCTGAAAGCTCTTAAAATAGTGTCGCTGATACACTCAGAAGAAAACATTAGAGATCAGGTGTCGCTTTTTAAAAGCGTGATTTACTTTTCTCTTGATAATATCTGTCTGCGGAAAAAGAATAAAATGTACACTATTATAATCGTGTTAAAGTATTCATAAACGATTTAACTATGATTTTCATCAGTTTACATCACTACGTTAAATTGACTACTTTTTCTGAGAAAGCCTAACACTAGTTATAAAATAAATCGCAGCTCTCGATCTGCAATGAATGATATTCATATAGATCGTTAATTCTATCACTTAATTAGTAAATATACGTTTGTCTAGTCTTGTATTTCTTAAGGCAGGAATTTTTATATTTACAAGTTTTGTCCTTGTTGGCCTTCTTTTTTGTTTGTTCAAAAACCGTTCAAGGCTCGTTTCATGAAAACTCGTTTCAGACAACGCGAGTGTTAAGACTCGTCGACGCGAGTTACGTTGCATTACAACCTGCGCGTCCGAAACAATTCACCTATTATATTCCTATTTATTGACATATATATCGCATCACCGTAAAAATGTACACCCTAGTGATATTAGTTCCTAAAAATAGCCAAACCATAAAGGGAAATCTGTGGCAAATCATTCCGGATGATAAATGATATTTTCCACGCAAATATAACCATTGTAAAAATATTTTGGATTCGCCTGCGTGCAAGAATATATGTATGATTCACTTATATTTTCAACGTAATTTAAAACTCGTGTCTGACGATATACGGAACGATATGTTGATTAATCGTCGTTAAATCTCTTTAAAAAAGTATATTAGCACCATAAACACCACGGATTCCCCTCCCATTTTATTCAGAGTCGCAGTAACACTGCCCCTTTAGGATTGCACAAATCAATAATGCACGTACCTTGCATATATTGTTAGGTCACCCACGACATCAAAATAATTTGCCACAGACTTTCGTATCGCCACTTTGATATATTCATTTGTATAGCCTCTAATACGAGATAAACATTAAACGTTCCGAGCATGGTTCTCCACTTTACCAGTCAAAGGTTTGACCTCCACGTCCGGCTCTTCTATGGCAAGAGGCGCTTGCCTTGTGTCGGGAACATCGACGTCCATCGTGCTTTTTGATCGGTTTGCTGTCTCCGTCGAATCTTGGGTTTGATTCGACGACCCAGTTTCTTCCAGATTCGTCGATTTCGTAGGCTCCGTGGGCGACGAAACGGAAGATGGCGTTGGTAATTCCGAACTCGGAGAGATACCGTCACCGTCGGCTGTGTGGTGATGATGTGGCCTCTCTTCGAACACTGAAACAATCCGTTTTAAGTTATGTTAGATTCAAACCTGACATTTTATTTACTTTAACAATAAATGTACCGTATAGCAACTACAGACCCTGCAGTTACTCAAATTTGATACGGTATGGCGAATATACTCACATTTATCGAGGCTGATAATCGATCCCACGAATTCGTTAACAGTGAAAGATGGGGCTTGGTCTTCCATCTGCTTTCTCCTCCTAACTAGCCACCAGTCGATCAGGAACAGTGCCAGGGCTAAAATCTTTATGCCGGCGCAGAGTCCGACGTATCTGTAGACATCACGTTCCCGTTTAACATTCGCCTCGAAACGGCAGTTTTCTTAAAAAACACCCCGCGACAAAGGATTCGTTGTACCTGTATCTAAACTGTTCGATGTCGTAGAGCAGGCACCGACCACCTTTTTCTCCGCATGTACTCTTCCACAGTAAGCACGTAGAGTCGATCAAGTTGCCAAATAAAATTGGAGCGGGTATGTAACCGAACAGTCGAAAGATTACGAACTGCATGCCCAAAGCGAACGATCGTTCCTCCTCGGAGACTGACCTGCACGTTGGAACAGAAACGCAAGAACACATGAAACGGGCACGGTGCAGGGCGTGTGTCGACTTGGTACGATCGACACTTACCGCAACACTATCATCAGCAGCGGCATTTGAGTGATAGCAACGATAAACGTCATGAAGAAAAGTAAAATTAAGAAGGGGAATATAGTTCTGCATGGCGAAGTGCAAGGACCGGCAGTAGCCACCGGTACCACTGTCACTTCCGCAAATTCTGGAGCTGCCGGTGGCAACATCGTTAGGTTTCCATGTATACCTATAAAAATACACGCGTGTATTTGATGAAACGTATCATCGACGAATACTCGAGTAAAACACAAAATACAGAGACGATCTTGACGATAGTTCAAGCTGTTTATTTCAATCAAAGTGAATAAACGTTTGATTTATCACGAAGAGTATCCTGTAGTAATGTTATTATAGGATAAATAATCACGCTTACATGCACAATTGGTGAAATTTGATTTCGAACTAAAGGCAGTGCAACCTGCATGGCAAGGGCTAAAGTACGTCAGACCGTTGTTTCCGCAGACTGGCTCGACGTCCGTCATTCGACATTCGCAACCGAAGTTGCATGCGGCAGTGAGGTTTACTTGAAAAGGCTCCGGGCCCTTCGTGCTGCTGTTAAAGTACGGAATAGTGGTCCCAGCCATCTTCACGTTGTCGCAACCGAGGAAAAAGAGAAGGCCGTAACACACCAGGCATATGATGTTCGAGACGAGAACGAATTGCACCGCGCCCTTTGGTCTTAATTCTAAACGTTTGAGCAAACATCCGCCGAAGAAGATCCCGATGCAAGCGCCCGGTATCGCTATAGACCCAGTGAACACGCTGGCTTGGCTCTTTCCTAGGCTGAACTGCGTCTCGAGATACTTGGGAAGAAAAACGACGAAACCGGAGACGATCACCAGCTCCATGCACGCCCCCAAACAGGTGACCACGTACACCGGATTGCACACGAGCCTCCACATGCTCCTGGGAATATCTGAAACGAACGATTAGATTCAAATTCGATGATTGGTCGAAGGAAAATTTCCTCACCTTTCACGTCCTTGCCGTAACCGCTATCGTCCAGTTTCTCTTTCTTCGGTTCTTTGGATTGCTCCTTCTCTTTCTGCGACGACGATTTGTTCTTCTCGATGATTCGTATCTTTTCCTTCTCGCGTTGCAGCACTTTCGGGAAACTGAAGAACGGAATCGCGACTAAAATTAAGAGCAAACCGCAAAGTAAGAATCCACCCCACCACATGCCGACCCATCTGTGATCGCCAGGACCTGTTGGAGGAAATTTCACAGATGTACTCTTGGTTGCTTAAAAACGATCGACGGTGGACGATTGTTTATACCTATACTGATGATCGCCGCGGAAAAGGAGTCCATGTGAAACGATAGTAAATAAGCCCCGAGTAGGAAACCTAACACCGGCCCAAACGCTGCCATACTATACATACAACCTGTAAAATGGATGGCAATAAGTTTTCCATCCGCCATATTGGATCCTAAAGAGTCATTAGATTCCTTACCAATATACAAAGAAGCACTCTCTGGCCGCACGTGATCATCTATGTAAGTAGTACCAAGAGTAAAGAGAGGGGAACCACCACAGCCTAATAATAACTGAGCAAGTACAAATAACATAACAGGGCCGGCGGTAGACGGAGATCCTTGAATGCAGTTGTCGCCTCTCAAATTGTTGTGTGGTGCCAAAGGTGGCGATGATAATCCGGACGACAAACGACCTAAAAGGAACTCCATTGTTACGCCTGTCGATGTTATTTTAGGCAGAGCTCGTCGAACACGATCTTTTCATAAATTTCAATCATCCTTATCGGATAGTTTCTCTGGTTAAAATGTACCTAATCCCATATCTTGTTCTCGCAACGATACCCCTCGACAAATGTTGTCGGAACTAGAGTTGTTCGCAGCCGTCATTAAATTAGGCTCGGCCGTGAAATGTGGCACCATAAAGATCATCGATCCCAGTCCCATTATTACAGCGCCTAAAAACGAAACGCTAATTGTAATGTTAATACGAGACGTATCTTTCAATCTGTCAACAAAGGAGTACAGTAATGATTCTTAAAACGAGCGAGTTGAAATTCTATCCCTGTCGACTTGGGGGATCCCCCTTGGAGACCAGCGAAGCGTGAAAGACGATGTTTCGTGAAAAGCCGCTCGGCTTGGTCGTCGGATCTCGCCAACTGGCATTTAAAGACAGCCTATTAACTCTACAAGGATATTCTTAAAAGTATGCTATTTACCACGTTGAACTACTAACGCAACACCTCATGGGGTGTTCAAAAAGTGATCGATTCGATGTAGAACGATACACGCGTTAACAGTTTTGTTAAATCGGTGATTTTAAATGCATAGAACAAAGTCTATCCCTTCGACTGTCGTTCGTTCTTTCTCATTCGCTCTTGCCGTTCTTTTCTTCGACCGTTGTTCGTTTTTTCTTGCTCGCTCTCGCTGGCTGTCCTTCTCCTCGGTTGTCGGGAAAAGATAAAGACGACTCCGGTCCCAATGATATCGCTGTGTACAAACATCTGCTGGAAATTTGCCTCCGTTGTACGAAAACTAAGCGACGTTCGTTTTAAGAATCATTACCGTGGGTGTTTACGATTTTTTTTCCAAAGAAACCACAAGGTACGAAGGTCGTTCAACAAGTCCTTAGAAAAAGATAGAAAAACAAATTATTTTAGGTAGATTTTTTTGTTATTTTTCAACATAATCTCCTTTTAGCTCTATACACTTTTTCAAGCGTTCCTCCAACTTTTTTAAGCCATCTAAAAAGTAAGCTTTCAGAAGGTCCTCAAAATAGACATCTGTTTGTGAGGTTTTTTAAAAATTGGAAATAAAAAAAAGTCACTGGAGATTAAATCCGGTGAATACGGTGGATGTTGTGATAATTTGAACTTTAATTCTATAATTTTGGCCATCGAAACTGCACAGGTGTGCTGCACCCGTGCATTGTCTTGAAGCAAGAGGAAGTTCCTTGCTTCGATCGACAATAAAAATGAGACCATGTGGTGGATATATGTGTAGTCCGGGCCACAATATAGTGAGGTCGTAAACTAAACTCTTGAAGGTTGGGACCGACTACTGCTGCGACACTTAGGGCCGTACATGACATCTTGCTTGAGGATGCCTTTCTGAATGTCTTGTTATGTCCGTAACTGCACTACCTTTTTTCATTTTCTACATGCATATATTATAAGCAGGTAATATTAAAGACTTGAATAAGACTTTTACCTGTTACGATACCTCTAAAAATGGCTTTTTAAAAATGGCGACACTAGATAAAACATTCAATTAACTTGTTTGGGGAGCTGAAACGTGTAAACTTTGACACCTACTCGAGTTTACGACCTCGCTATATTGTGACCCGGACTATAACTGAAACTTTAACAGTTGTCTAGTGAGTCATGATGTTTACTAAAAACAAACCATTTTCGATGCTACGAGCGCCAGGTTTTGCACTTTTTAAGAACTTATCGAACACGACCCTCGTATTTTATCCCTTAATTTTGTTATACAAGATCAGAAAATGCATCGAATTTTGTTACCAATCGCTATCCAGACAGGTATGTGCCGACGACTGCCGAGATAGCTGACGAAGATGACGGTGATGACGTTCCCGATCTCGTAGGAGCTCGCGATGACGCCCGAAAGGCTGGACGGGATTTCGAACCTTTTCTCTATGGTCGTGATCACAGAATTAATGTAACCTGAACTAAGTGCTTGCTGCAACGTGACGAGAAACGAGAGGAGGAACACGAACACCTGAAATCACAACGATACGAAGGTGGAACGTAGAGAAATCATCGGTCGTGGCGCGTGTGGCTAATCGAACCACGAAGGGAACGCGACGGAAGCCAGATGGGCCGCGTGTGCGGATCGATTCGATCTAATCTTTACTGTAATTGCTGTTCCAAGAACCGGCCGAGCGATTCGACGTTACCGGATCGCGGACTCTGTTTCAGTCGTACGGATTAAAAATACGAATGATAAATTTTCCAGATGCCCTGGAGTCCGTACCGGAAACAAGACTCGTCGCTATCTGGATTGTTTTCGTCGAGCAAATTATGTTCAACCGAGAAACGCTCGTGTCCAGAAATAACTGGAATGGAAATGCTATGAATTGCTGCTGACATTTTTGTCTCCTTTCCATCGAATCAAACGATAAACTTTAACTTAACAAAAATATCAATTTTTTTTTTACCTCATTTTTTGAAAGTATACATATTTAAGAATGTACTGGTAAATTTTGAGAGATAAATCTCAAGTATTGTATATCACAACAACATTAAAAGTTAATAGAAATTAATAAAAAAATTATGTTGCATTCCCAAAGGATAGCTAGGTAAAACTTGCAAAAAAGAATTATAACGTCAGATGTAACATTTCCTTAAAAAAAATTAAGAAAAATGGTTCAATTTTCTATCATTCACACGAGACTCCCCCCTTAATTACCAATAATACCGATTATTTCTACGCGAAATTTCGAAATCGTTTGACGACAGGTGAGGATCGTATTAAACAATTAAAAAACGTTAAACGCCGTGAACGACGTTGTTATCCTCATTCGTAACGGCTTTAAAAGCCTTTCACGGAATGTCAGCAGCATTTCAATGTCGTATCCTTTCGAACGGTGACTCACGAGGCCAGGTTTGTACATCCGTGTACGCCGCGCGCGATCGAGTCGACTGATCGATCGGCTTAAATAAATCGTGGACACCGATACGAGAGTGTCCGGAGAGCGTAGAGTGATCGGGGAAGTATTTACGAACCTTTATTCCGGCGAATCTCTGTATAAAGGCTGGCCTGCAGCTCAGGATTCCGCAGTCCTTCGAGTCAGGATTAAACGGCGGCGTTTGCGCTCTTTCTTTCTCCGTTCTGCGCGCGGGTGGGCCATGGCAAACGAGAAGACAACGTTTGAAAAATCGAAAAAGGGAACCGAAGAAAAAAGATTTAAAAAGTGCACGATTCTGTTGATCCTTCAACCCGAACAGGACTTAGTTTTAAGCAGAATTTTCAGGATTATGTTAAAATTCTTTGGAGAACATTTCATCTCTAAACAGTGAGTGTACTCTTATAGCATAGACACAGGTTTACTTCAACTTTATTACGATGATATTAAATCATGATACGTGAGTGGAAACTCGACGTTTTGCGTCGCAAAGTACCTCAGAACGTGAATTCTTAATTCATTGCTAATGCGATGTACCAACATTCTAAGTAAATATTTCTGTTTCCATGTAACCTTGCCCAGCCTCGTTTTGATCCTACGTCATCTAAATCCTGCGTCAGCCACTTCAGCCTTACCCGATTTATGCTTCGAAGAATCGTCTTTTACGTTTTATCCCTGCTACAACAGAATCCTTAAAAACTCTTAAGAAACTTTCAACGATAATTCAAGCAACATTTTAATTAACAAACTGTGGCGGCCAAGGCACCACATACGCCTTAGCCGTTCGAAGCCGCTACAATGTATGGTTGCACACGAGACGATGGTTGCACACGAGACGATGGTTGCACACGAGACGACCAGAGCCGCGTGAGCCGAAAAGCCGTTGTCGTCGTCTCTGACCGTCTTTTGTTTTTGAAGGCCTCTTGGTACGGTGGCGATGATCGTACCAGAGAGTCGAGCGTAACCCGCACCACGAGTCACGTCGTTGTACGACAGCAACTATACAATTGTGCGGAACGGAACAGAGCGGAGTCATTATCTTCCCGATCCCACATTGGTGACCCCGACGTGATCTCGCCGCGCAAGTAAAGTTTTTTTTAAGAAAATTTGGACATTTTTTGTATACGGACAATATTAGTTAGTGTAGAGAAATAAGTGTATAGTGTTAAGGACATAAGAAAAGGACACGGTCTGACAAATAGTAAGCGCGGTGTGTGTGTGCGGTGAAACTATTTTTTTTTTTTGTGACTAAGACTGGTAAAATGACTGACCCTAACGTTAACGCAGGGACATCCGGGAGTGTGCCGTTGGCAGTTGATCGCGTCGCTGTACGAATACCCGAGTTTTGTCCGGGAGACCCGGAGATGTGGTTTTCGATGGTAGAGAGAAGTTTTGAGGTATCCAATGTAACGTCGGAGACCACGAAATTCGGGTACATTCTCGGCGCGTTAAGTGCGCGACACGCCGCGGAAGTAAGAGACATTATCATGAATCCTCCGGCCACGGATCCGTACACGACGCTCAAAAATGAGTTTATTCGCCGGCTTAGTGCGTCGCAGGAACAGAAAACGCGGCGGTTATTGGAACACGAGGAAATCGGGGACAGAAAACCGTCTCAATTTCTTCGTCACCTGCGCGGATTGGCCGGTACGGCTTTTTCGGACGGTGTATTGCGGACGCTTTGGATGGGCCGACTACCTGCTAATATGCAGGTGATTTTAGCCACGCAGCGGGACACCCCGCTGGATAAGGTGGCAGAGTTGGCAGACGCTGTTGCGGATACGATGACACCGCGGGTACAAGTCACGGAGGCCGCGATTACGGGCGTATCTGCATCCTGCCAAATACCCCCGCCGGGCCCGAGCATCGAGGCCATGTTAAACATTAAGATGTCACAATTGGCTCTTTCCTTGAGGCAGGAAATTTCTGCCATCCGTGAATCCTTGGTGGACCAGGGGCAATCTTCCCGTCGCAGGTGGACCCACCGAAATCATCCAAACTCGCGCTACCGCAGACGATCTCTATCGCGATCGCGAGAGCGGCCCGCGGGAGGACAAATGGACCATCAAGGGAAATGCTGGTACCATTGGCGGTTCGGTCCGGCCGCGCAGAGGTGCGTTGCACCGTGCAATTGGAACGCCACGGATCAGGGAAACGACCTGGGGAGTCGTTGATGGCGGCCAGCGACACAAATCCAGCATCACGCCGCCTCTTCATCTTAGACAACAGCTCGAAGACGGAATTTTTAGTGGATACCGGGGCCGATTTGTGCGTTTTTCCGCGCCGCCTGCTAGGCGGATTGCGAGAAAGATCGGAGTACCAGCTGGCGGCGGCGAATGGGAGTGTAATTAACACCTACGGGACAGTGTCGTTAAACCTGCACCTCGGCCTACGACGGGATTTCGTGTGGCGATTCGTGGTTGCGGATGTTACAAAACCCATAATCGGGGTAGACTTTCTCGATCACTTCGATCTTATGGTGGACATCCGCAATCGTCGCCTCGTCGATCGGACCACGTCGTTAACGGTCCGCGGAACACGAGCCGAGGATGAAACGCCGTCGGTGAAGACAGTAGCAGGGACTACCGTTTACCACCAGCTCCTGATGCAGATGCCGGAACTTACACGGCCTAGCGGCACCCCGATGAGGACTACGCACCAAACGGTGCATTACATCGAGACAACCCCTGGAGCACCCGTTTCCAGCAAGCCGCGGCGGCTTGCACCGGACCGGCTCAGGGCTGCCCAGAAGGAGTTCGACGCGATGGTGAAGATGGGCATCGCTTGTCCTTCGAAGAGCGCGTGGTCAGCACCCCTTCATATGGTTCCGAAGAAGGGCGAAGAAGCTTGGAGGCCTTGCGGTGACTATAGAGCGTTAAACGCACGGACAATTCCCGACCGATACCCCGTGCGTCACATTGAGGATTTTGCGCAACAACTGAGTGGCAAAAAGGTATTTTCCACAATAGATCTCGTCCGAGCTTATAATCAGATTCCGGTTGCGTCGGAAGACGTCGGAAAAACGGCCATTACAACGCCGTTCGGGCTTTTTGAATTCCCGTACATGTCGTTCGGGTTACGAAATGCCGCGCAAACATTTCAGCGCTTTATCGACGAAATTTTACGCGGTTTCGATTTTTGTTACGCGTATATAGACGACATTTTGGTCGCCTCAGAATCCCAAGCCGATCACCTGCGCCATTTAGAATTATTATTTAAACGATTAAAAGATTATGGCATTGTTGTTAATCCGAATAAATGCACGTTCGGACAGGAAGAAGTTAAATTTCTAGGCTATCGGGTAAATGAAAGCGGCACTCAACCTTTGCCCGGCAAGGTACAAGCCATAAAGTCATTTCCCCTTCCGAAAAACGCGAAGGATTTGAGGCAGTACTTGGGAATGCTTAATTTTTACCGCCGTTTTATCCCAGATGCCGCTCGCTTTCAAGCACCCTTGAACGACCTTCTAGCCGGCAATTTAAAGGGCAAGACCTCGATAGCCTGGACTTCGGAAGCGCGTCAGGCTTTCGAAAATACCAAAAATAGTTTAGCAAACGCAACCCTGCTTTCTCATCCTGCGGTCAACGCTCCATTGTCGGTTACCTGCGATGCTTCTGATTACACCGTAGGAGCTGTTTTACATCAGTACGTCGGCAACGAACGACAACCATTAGCATTCTTTTCTAAGAAATTAGGATCTGCCGAAAAGAAGTATTCAGCTTACGACCGGGAACTACTTTCTATCTATTTAGCAATAAAACATTTCAAACATATGCTCGAAGGCAGACATTTCACGATTTTTACAGACCATAAACCCATAACTTTCGCTTTCAAACAGAAATTAGATAAATGCTCTCCTCGACAATTCCGATACCTAGATTACATTGCGCAATTCTCTACAGATATTCAACATATTTCCGGTAAAGACAACGTCGTTGCCGATGCACTGTCCAGAGTGGAAACGGTTAACCACTCGATTAATTTCGAAGAATTGGCAAAATCGCAAGCCCAGGATGAGGAGTTGCAGCGGTTGTTGAATAGCGAATCTAGCCTGCGATTACGCAAAGTCTCGTTGCCTGGCACGTCTTCCGAAATTTTTTGCGATATTTCGACTAAGAATGTAAGACCTTATGTCACCCCTCCTTTCCGACGTGCAGTTTTTAATATGTTACATGTATTATCACATCCAGGTATTAACGCGACGATCAAGCTCATAACGCAACGTTATGTTTGGCCGTCGATTAAAAGAGATGTTCGCACGTGGACACGTTGCTGTATACCGTGCCAAAGATCAAAAATTTCCCGTCATGTGACTGCACCATTGGCTACATTTGTTAAACCTTCTGCGCGATTCGAACACATTCATTTAGACATAGTAATTTTACCGGTGTCCGAAGGTTTCAGGTATTGTCTGACCTGTGTAGACAGATATACGCGGTGGCCGGAAGCCTTCCCCATGGTCGATCAGGAGGCCCAAACCGTAGCTCGAACCTTTTATGACGGTTGGGTAGCGCGGTTTGGTGCTCCCGTACGGATTACCACCGATCAGGGTAGGCAGTTCGAATCCAAATTATTTTTTGCGCTGAACAATTTAATTGGATCCACACGCCTTCGCACAACGGCGTATCACCCAGCGGCCAATGGGATGGTAGAGCGTTTTCACCGACAGCTCAAGTCGGCTATAAGGTGCCACGGATCCGACAAGTGGACAGAAATACTTCCGACGGTTCTACTCGGTATTCGTTCCGCCTGGAAAGAAGACCTCGGCGCTACCTCAGCGGAATTAGTTTATGGCGAGCCATTAAGATTACCGGGAGAGTTCTTGTCTTCGCATTCAGCGGAAGGCACAGAAAATGCTTCCGATTTTACTAATAGACTACGCAACCATTTTTCTAAATTGAGTCCCTCTAATGCATCACGCCATTCCGTTAATCGTACATTCGTTTTCAAAGATCTTAGCAGTTCAACACATGTTTTCATCCGAACAGATTCAGCCAAAACTATTTTACAACCCGCTTATGAAGGTCCATACGCCGTAGTGCGCCGAGGCGAAAAAACATTTACAATAAACATTAGAGGTAAGGAAATAAATATATCAATTGAAAGGCTAAAGCCTGCTTATATGCTAGCAGAAAACAGACCGGATCCCGTGAGCATAGAAAATCAGCCGGTCACACAAACAAACGTACCTGACAATGCGCCGGTTATACAGCAACGTGTCACGCGTTCAGGTAGACGCGTACGTTTTCCCGAGCGATTTCAAATTACGCGGTAGTACTTAAGGCTTGCGCATTATTATAATAAGTATCATATACCATTTATTTTTTTCCATCACTTTTATGTACTTTCATGTATTTTTAGGTATTACGTATTATATATTAAACTCCATGTAAATTCCTTTTTTTTTCAACTCTGTTCAAATACTGTAATGTAAATCTTAGTTAGGATAACGTATTTTATATAATAGAGTAAATGGTAGTGGTAATGTAGTCGGTCAATTTTTCGTAATTGTGCCAATTACTGGCAGGGGGGTAGTGTGGCGGCCAAGGCACCACATACGCCTTAGCCGTTCGAAGCCGCTACAATGTATGGTTGCACACGAGACGATGGTTGCACACGAGACGATGGTTGCACACGAGACGACCAGAGCCGCGTGAGCCGAAAAGCCGTTGTCGTCGTCTCTGACCGTCTTTTGTTTTTGAAGGCCTCTTGGTACGGTGGCGATGATCGTACCAGAGAGTCGAGCGTAACCCGCACCACGAGTCACGTCGTTGTACGACAGCAACTATACAATTGTGCGGAACGGAACAGAGCGGAGTCATTATCTTCCCGATCCCACAAAACTATATAAAATAGATCAGGAAGCAGTAAAATATCTGACTAACGTTGACAATATTATTAATAATATTTAAAATTAATTTTACAGCTTCTATATCTCATTTTAAAAGAAGCTGTAATTTCGGTCAATACGTGCCATCGTAATTGAAGGATCAGAGAATAAAAGACGATTGATTTAAGAAAAGATACTGATAGTAACAAGCTGGACGATTCGTGCGTTAGATGTTCAGTGATTAGCATCGACCGTAATCGTCTTTTCGTTAATTACATCGATCGTACAGTAATCGTGGCGCGTTTACCTGTCCACCATGGAAGCACTGGGATTCCTGCTGTGACATTTGATGATAAAATCTCTGAAAAAGGGTAAAAACGAGAAACGGGAAGCATGAATAATCTGGTGCCAAATGATGGGCCGTTAACGCGCGCGTGCATGACTTTCACGGCTAATTAATTGGAATCGAGTAAGCTTCCAGCGAAAGGAGCGTCGAGAAGTATATAAACCGATCGCTGTTGCAACGATTACGGACGAATCTATTTCACGCACGGAATATATATGTGTCACGGTCACAACACGCGGTGCTTTCGCTTTCTATTATTCGGACGACGCTACGTTGCAATTTGGAAACAATTCTCGTATGTAAATTCGAACGCGAATCCCCGACGACGCGAAAATTGCTCGATTTACCAACGTGGGCCATCGATCGCGGAAACGTTTTCACGATTTTTGCGCTCCGTTCGCGAGGAACTCGTTCAAGGGATAATTGTTATGCACGCGATCTGTATTATGTTAGTTGGACTTGCAACTTGCACGTACGATAAATAAAGATTCAGTATGCTACTGCGTGCAAGTTGAGGGACGTCGCTTTTAAAACGAAAGATAGACGAGACTTTGTGTTCTCTGTTCAGAGCCACGTTTGATCGACAAACCTTGTTGAAACCAGTGTTTGGTCAAACAAAAATTTGTCCACGTTTGCTCAAATACGTTATATTCGATCTAGTGTTTGCGCAAACATACATTTTTTTCAAACTCGTATTTGCACAGGCGGATATTTGTCCCAATGCATGCTTGTTTACAGGGAGAATCGATCGCATGTTTGCATCGACGTTACTCGAAACTTTGCAGATTGGACAATTGCAAAATATTAATTTTACGGTCGGCCACGTTTACCAATAAGAATCATGGTTTGACGCACTATTAATTTTACGCGGCTATAAATAGATTTTCGTTCGACTTTGCTGAATTCATTTAAAACATTTTTCGCGCGAATGAATTCGAAACATCTACTATCGATCAAACGCGAGACGAAATAGCGAGACATTGGAAGCGGTCAAAAGATCGAACGTGGTTAAAATTAAAACCACATTACGTTAGAAAGACACGCCATCGTGACAAAAGCACCTTCGTGACGGATGCAATCCGGGTACGGCCGACCATAAGTCTAACATTCTTCGAAGGTTTGTCACACACTATCGGTCAAAAGTTTTGGACCACCTCTCTCTTTACTATATTTCACTGCAACGATTCTATTATTATCTCTGTTTTGTTTATATCAGAAAAAAGTCAACATAAAATATTTAATTCACACTTGTACTCGGTTTGAAATCACTAGAGGAACGCGAAAGATGCGTTCGATCCGCGCTTAAGCAAGATGGCGCGCGACTAAACCGAACCAACCTCTCACGAGACGTTGTTCGAGTCGAACGAGAATTTTGATAATAAATTTTAATAACTTCAACGCGATTGAGCAACCGCGTATCTCTTCGCGATGACTCGCGAAGCACTGCTGAATACAAATGACACGTGTTTCTATAATTCTTATTGGATAACTTTATGTATATGGATCGATTTCATAACTGAGAATTTACTCACAGTCAATACACGTACGCTCCATACGTTTTCAATCTCGATTTTCTCAGAGAACGAACCATTAACTTATTTTTCTATCGAGAAAATAAAATGCAAATTATCTATCGATATTCTTCGACGGATAATCTTGCGCGTCCCAAACTTTTGGCCGGCAGTGTAGGTGTGTGGATGCTCCACGAGACGTTCTCGTTGGATAGATATGTGGAATTTTGAACAAGAATGCGCGTCGACTGGTTACTATGCTCACTCACCTATGGTCCACGAGGCCAGAACTGGGATTTCTACTGTGACACCTTATGACAGTGTCATGAGTCAGTCTGCTACCGGTAGCTTGCAACGGGTCTGTGGTTTCATCCGTGCCTGTGCCCGCGCTCTCAGCGTAGAGCCCCGTCATAGCGTACATGCTTTCGTTCCTTCGATGCCCGGCATGGTAATTGCTGCCAGACTCGGACCTGGAAACGTACGAGAAGGCGAAGGTCAGCGTGCAATTTGGAAGTGATCCATTAGTTCGTCCCACCAGCCCCTCTCTATCCGCCATTAGCTCGAGCAGTATGCGCATCCAATAATGGTACACGCGTTCCAGGTTAACAATATATACAGCGTCAGGGCATCGGATTAATTCGACGTCGAAACCCGGATTTCAATTTAATTTATTACGCTATTCTACCTTTTTCCCCCTGACGATATATCTTGGCAAACGGATCATCGTTTCAGCGCTAGTTCCCGCGTTCCTGGCCACACGATCGAATTAAATTACTTTGAAATCTCCGTTCTCCAAGGTGGCGGTCGGAAAACGTGTTGTTCGATACGAGTCTGAACAATGGCGACACAGAAAGAAGACTTTCTGCTTCGATCGTGTCGTTGGAAGTCTGCAGGAATGGTAATCCGATACGTAACTTTCTTTATTACAGAATAAGACTGTCGGATGGAAGAATAGAACGAAGATTACGGAGTCGATATCGCGTGGAAACGTACGGTGTAATGGAATATGAATGCCGCGGGACACGAAGATTGTACGTTGTCGCGAACGTAATTTTTCAGTTTCCTGTCTCGTTAACCAACGAGGGACAAGACAAACAGAATCCTGGAAGCCCCTGGACGCCTGAACCTGTACTTATCTAAACATTACACGTAGAGACCCCCGGCCGAAGGATCATATTACTCTGCACGGTAACAGGAGCTGCCTCCGTGCTGTTCGAATTCTTTTCCACGAACGAACGCCGGCGCAGGCTCGCGATCCTCGTCGGACGAAAGATGCTTTACAACGGAACTGGACAAACTTTATTCAACGATTAACCGAATATCAGTTTAAAACGTTCATTTATCTCTTTACAAATGAAATATAAATGGAAGTCTACGAACGAATTTAAAACTTTTAAATAGTGCTCGTGATGTAACATACACAATTATTTGAAGCTTCAGGCGACAAAATTTACCCCTATGATACTAGAAAAATTAATTCTCAAGTTAAAACGTCGAGGGAAATAAATCTGGATAGAATTTGTGAATCATAACTGAAAGAAATTTTAGGTTATGTAGCTTACAAAATTTTACTTTTGCGGAATATTGTACGGTTTTATACCTAATAAAAAAGGTAATAAAAACTATTAAAATTAGTACATTTTCCCCAGAAATAAGTACAGCTTTTTTCAGCAGTGTCAAAGAAAAAAAAAATTGTTTTCCCATAAAGAAATCCTGGTCCTTCGGGAAAGACGTTTGAGTGGCGAAGGGGTTGAAAAAGAATTTTTTTTTTCAACGACCAAGAGCACTCCATTTTCGAGTCAAAAGACCCAGACTGGGCTCTCGAGTCGCGCGCGCTACGAGCCTGGCTCGTTATTTCATTCGGGCGAGTTAAACGCGTCAAGATGCGACACCGGGAGATCCAACCGGGTCCGTTAAGCGCGAAAATTAACGACGAGAGCCGCTCCCGGGCGTTCTTTCGCCTAACTTTGGAACAAAGACGCGCTCTCGTTAGGAGGAACGTGTCGGGGCGACTAAGAAATTCCGTTCGAGGGGGGGGAAGGGCGAGAATCACCTTTTGTGCCCGAAACCACCGCCGCTCTCATTCCTCTTGTGGCCACTCTCGGATCGTTTGTGGCCAAAGGCACTGGATATGCTCTCGGCGCGTTTGTGACCGCTCTCCGAGCGTTTGTGGCCGATGAAACCACCGCCGGACTCCGTGCGTTTGTGGGCGAACATGCTCGAGCTCGATCCGTTCCTCTTGTGCCCGCTGGTGGACGCCATTTTCTTCCTTGTCCGCCTACGCCTTTTGCGTCTTCCGCTTCCTCCCTATGAAGATCGTTCAATTACGGCCTCAACGGCGACATCTTTCGCTCCGTGCTTCCGCTGCCTGAAAAACACAAAACGATTCGTTAAATTCATTATTGTTTCGTTACGTTACAAGCTGCAATTTATTTGTAAATTATAGACTCTTTTGCGGGACGGTATCCGGCTTTTTACGAATCGAGTTGCAACGTAAAATGGCGTGGAATTAACTGGAAATACTTGTTTAACGAAATATTGATTAACACCGAGCAAATCCGGTTCACTCGAACTCCGCCGGAAGTCCCGCGATTCCCCGAGGCGCGATAGGATCGGAACGAAGAGCATTGAAAAACGTGAATCTGCGCGTCGACACCGTTTGATGCAATCGTACGATCAATTGACATCTCTGTCTTCAACAGTTCAACGAACCTGTATCCGTAAGGTCAGGGCCGTTCAGCAACGCGAGTCGGAGCGCGCGCAAGTAGAATAGCTGTCGTCTTCGTTAGGGAGATAGGAGGATAACTGTATCTACTGCTCCGCCGCGACGCCTCTGCACGCTTTTGCCCGTTTCTTACGTTAAGTCGGCGAGAAGTTCGCCGCACAGACAGAAACCGTCCACCGCCGAGACTCGCGACGATAAAAACTATGTACACAGTTGTACCCGTATTTTATCGGTTCCAAAACGACCGCAGCTGATTCATTTGAATTTGTCACATTATTTTTTTAATCTAATCGAAATTCGTCCTAAATCATTTTTTTTTTTTTTAACAGCCATCATACATTGGGTATACCTGGATCTCAAATTTATTTTTATATTAATTTCCAGTACTAAGTGGAATTTTATTTTAAACTGAAAGTACGATAAGTGATTGACAGAAGATGCTTCATATAAATTACTGACGCTTTTTAATTTCCATTAATGGAAATTTATTAAATATCTGAATGGGAGTAATTGTGTGTATACTTTAACACTTTAACTGCCATGTCACCCATATATGAATTTTCCACTATGGAACTAGAAAAATAAATTCTGAAGTTGATATGTTGAGGGAAATAAATGTGTATAGGATTTGTGGATTTTAGCAAGGTTACAAAAATAATTACATGAACAAATTTTAGGTCTGGGAGAGGTTAGATTATACAGGGTGTTCGGCCACCCTTGGGAAAAATGTTAATGGAGTATTCTAGAGGCCAAAATACGACGAAAATCAAGAATACCAATTTGTTGATGGAGGCTTTGTTAAAAAGTTATTAACGTTTAAAGTTCCACCTTTACTGAATTTTTTTCTCGAAAATGCGCAGGATTTCGGGGGTATGTATATTCATAAAAAATTATTGTAATTGACCCCTGCAACGGAAAATAATTTTTCCAAAACGGTTTGAAATTTTTTTTTTCGTCGAAAAATTTCACACTTTCTCAAATTTTTTTCTAGAAAAAGCGCAAGATTTTTGGGGTATGTCTATTCACCAAAAATGACTGTAATTGACCCCCGCAACCGAAAATAATTTTTTTAGTACGATTTGAAATTTTTTAATTTTGTCGAAAAATTTCACACCTTCTCGAATTTTTTTCTAGAAAATGCGCAAGATTTCGTGGGTCTGTCTATTCACCAAAAATTATTGTAATTGACCCTCGCAACTGAAAATAATTTTTTTAGCATGATTTGAATTTTGTAATTTTGTTGAAAAATTCGTCCACCTACTCGAATTTTTTTCTCGAAAGTGTGTAAGATTTCGGGGGTATGTATATTGACCAAAAATGAATGTAGTTGACCCCCACAACCAAAAATAATTTTTTTAACACGATTTGAAATTTTTTAATTTTGCCAAAAAATTTGTCCACCTATTCGAATTTTTTTCTGGAAAATGCGCAAGAATTTGGAGATATGTATATTGGCCAAAAATGATTGTAGTTGACCCCCACAGCTAAAAATAATTTTTTCAGCACGATTTGAAATTTTTTAATTTGCCAAAAAATTTGTCCACCTTCCTGAATATTTTTCTCGAAAATGAGTAGGATTTCGGGGTTATGTCTATTCACCAAAAATAATTGTTATTAACCCCCGCAACGGAAAATAATTTTTCCAGAACGATTTGAAAATTTTTAATGTAATTGTTAATAACTTTTTAACGAAGCCTCCATCAACAAATTAGTATTCTTGATTTTCGTCTTATTTTGGCATCTAGAATCCCCCATTCAAATTTTTTCCAGGGGTGGCCGAACATCCTGTATAGTTTGCAATGGTCTAAACTAAAAATTTTAGTCTTGCAGAATATTGTACGGTTCTGATCCAACAGTGAATGTGTTAAAATGACTCTTCGGAGATTCCCAATATCTGGTACCTGAATTTTCTGATTTTTAGAGTTCAGATCGAGTGGAGGAAATTTGACGTCGCCGAACGAACGCCTACGAGCGTCGATGAATTTTGCAAGAGGCCTGTCGCCGAGCGGATTCAGCTCACGATTGTTTCCCGATTATTGCGAGAGGGCAAGAGAAAGACAGAACCGTGGCTCCTAGCCTTTCTGGCGGACGAAATCTTTCTTGTCGCAAGGCTAACGGGCCGCCGCGACGAAAGTTCTCGAAGCGAACTTGCGCAATTAACGCGTTACGTAAACGCGCGGGACGGTTCGTCTCGTCCGTCCTCCGGCGCGCGGCGGAAATCGAAACGGCGCATTAATTAATTTCGACGCCAATTAAAGTTCCGGGACTAGCGGGGCTCTGCGCCGCCAACTTCCGTTCCACGAGTCGCGACCATTTTGGCCGAACGTTTTCGCGTTAACCGACCCTGATTTTCCCTCGCGCTTATCCTCTCGCGATCTATTTTTAATAAACGTCGCGTAAGCGTTCTCCGCGAACCGCCATCGCGACAAACTCCGTCTAATTACTCGTAACGTCTACGCCTAACGATCGTTAATCGCCATAAATACAATAATAATCCTCTTCCATAATTTTTATTTGTAGGAAGTGTCGACTTTGACTGCAGGAACGACACTCTGTATCGAACGTTAGTCGAGAGCAGTCACAGTTTTACGTTTACGCTTTATGTCCTTACGTTTTATGTTCTTTATGTTAAATAGTTTTAGTAAATATTAAATAATATAGTTTATATAGTTACGTTTATTGTCCACGTGTTTGAACCCGACCATACGCATCTGACCATCCTCGACAATCCTTACATATTTTGTCTTTTAAAAATACAAACGAAACTTCGAATTTAAGTTTTGTAAATAGCTACGGAAGCTGCGTCCATTTCCAGAGAATTTTTCTTGCATTCGATAAATGTCTACCAAGTCTCGAGAAACTGTTCTGTTTGGACTCGGTCGAAAAGTTGATCGACTCGTTCGCATCTCGCTTTTTCAGCGGCGTTTTTTCACATTATCGACCAAGCCTGGCCTTGATTTCGTACCGATGAAAAATTGAAGGAGGTATGCCGCGCAGTATAGTCGGCTAACGAATTCAAAGTCAGGGATACATCGTAACGATCGTGGTTATAGCAAGAGCGACCGCGACGGCTAAACGACATCAGCTGTCGATGTTCCGTGGACTTCCGGCGAAGTCTGACCTCAAATCATTCGTTGGTATTCGCTGGAGAACCAGACGCCACGAGTAAAAGAGATTTACGAACTCATGGCGTTCCAAATTCCAAATAAAGATTCGTTTTATATTCGTACTTTAATATTTAACGGCGGATAAAATTGTACTTCAGCAATAGACAGTAATTGTAATTCAGTTATAGAAATGGGGCCACTATATAACTGTTCGAAATATTTTAAAACTTAATTTGAACTTTTTAACTTAAAAAAAATCTATATGGGAAAAAAATAAATACAAATGAAATTCAAGGAAACTACTACCACTAATTGTGCTCGAGCATAATGTAGGTCTGTGTGTTGGAAAGTTGTTTAGAATTATCTTACACGAAGCAATTTGATGAAATATTTATAGAGTGTAGAATCTATTTTATAATATCGTAGAACAAAATGGCTAGAAAGTTCTTGAAAGAACCTACACACATCCATAAATAATCGACTTCGGTTATGTACGAGGTTTTCTTTCGCGTTGAAAACATCCGGTTTTCATGGAACGCAAACAAAATATCTAACTGACAGCCTAGCTAACTAATAGATATGTTAACTAATTAACTGACAAACTAACTAATTTAGTGCAAACTATATAACTAACTGCAAACTAACTAACTACCTTACAAACTAACAAAATAACTGCAAACTAACTAACTAACTGCAAACTAACTAACTAACTGACAAACTAACTAACTAACTGAAGAACTAACTAACTAACTGCAAACGAACTAAATAACTGCAAACTATCGAACTAACTGCAAACTAGCTAACATTCTGCAAACAGGTAAAATAATGTGACTCGTATTCGGTACCAATTGAAAATGCCAAGACATTTATCTTCATCAATTAAATATTATTCAATATTTTACTTCTACTTGGATCCTTTGATTCATCGAATATTAGAGAGGCTATTCGCAGGCATGAACTAGATTTTGCCAAGATTTTAAATTGGTCCTCGTCCCGCGGCCTTGCATTAAATTCACCCAAATTGTTCGTTCTAATAGTTGGCACGTTTTATCCAGTTTTGCTCGCCATTAATTCAATTACTATTCGTTCTTGACACGAAACAGAACTTTGAGAACCATGGTCTTCATATAATATACAAAGTGTTCGGCTACCCTTGCGAAAAATTTTAATGAGGGATTCTAGAGGCCAAAATAAGACGAAAATCAAGAATATCAATTTGTTGATGGAGGCTTCGTTAAAAAGTTATTAACGTTTAAAGTTCTACCTGTACTGAATTTTTTTCTCGAAAATGCGTAGGATTTCGAGGGTATGTCTATTCACCAAAAATGATTGTAATTGACCCGCGCAACAGAAAATAATTTTTTCAAAACGATTTGAAATTTTTGAATTTAATTGTTAATAACTATTTAACGAAGCCTCCATCAACAAATTGGTATTCTTGATTTTCGTTTTATTTTGGCCTCTAGAATCCCCCATTAAAATTTTTCCCTGTATATAATTAGTAACATTATCAATTTTTATCGTGATATTTATATG